GGGGGGGGGAGCAGAGTAAAGCCGAGACCAACAAAACCCCTTGCAATGTGCCGAGGACCTTTGACTTCATTCAGCAGCCAATGGGGATGTTGATATGCGGCCAGTTTGCAGGGCAGAGAGGTCCTACTGACAGCGACAAGGGCAGATCTGAGAGGGCAAGGCCAAAGTGTGAGAGGACAGGCCCAAAGCTATGATAACAGTTTCTTAAGAAAACTAAAAGGCCTTGAGCCAAGGCATCGGGAAGGAAATAATAAAAAGTATCCAAGAGCTACTTAGGGGGCAGAAGGAAATGTGAAGAATGGGATCCTTGCAAGTAAAAGGTGATAGTCATTGTCAAAAGTAATTTGTATAATTGTAAAATCAAGCAGTGCCATAGTGGACAGACTTTAAAGAGGAAAGCTTACGAGGGCGCTCTTGGACATACTGAGTGTAAGGTCTGGAATATCTGCTGTATATTACTGTGCCGTTTTACGCAATATGTGTCTTAACACAAAGTGGAAGGAAATGACAGAAAGACCTTGAGGAGATTACAGAGGCTCCATTAAAGAGGTAGAAATAGTAAACATCACCCTACTGTGTGCACTTGCATTTTTCTGATGTTAGAAAATGCAAGAAAACATTTGCCACCTCTTGGTATATTATATGTAGTAAATTAGTTAATTGGTATAATTCATCAAGCATTATGTTCACGTTTTGCCTTTGACAAACTGATTCAAATTCAAAATCATGAAAACATTTTTTACCTCATACAGACATTTTCATATTAACCAAACAGTTATGCACTCTCTCTATAATTATGTACTGCAGAGGAAATGATTTATTACTAAAGTATGGTAATCTAGTTGTCAGTTTTCACCTCTACATCCTTGAAAATATCACATTGTACAGTCTAATTAGCATTGAAACTAGAACAGATCGAGCCAATGAGAACACCAAGTTTGGCTTCTTGTCCAAAGGTGGCTGAAATTGGATGCTTCACTAAAAATCATACCTCACTCCACCCGAATGAATCTAACTGTGAAATACTATACCACAGAAGAAAATGTCTCTTTTTTTTATTAAATTTATTGTGGTGACACTGGTTAATAAGATCATATAGGTTTCAAGTGTACATTTCTATGACACATGATCTGTATATTGCATTGTGTGCTCACTACCCAAAGTCAAATAATCTTCCATGAAAACGTATTTTTAATATTTAATCATAAATTATATAAGAAAATGCTTCAGAATGTACGAGGAAATTTTAAGTATTTTATCCCTTGAGATCATCTGAACCCCATTAAATATGAAACAACAGCAACATCATCAGTAATGAACAAATAACATCTGATATATGCTAGCGCTTGACTTCTGTTGAATAATTTCATCTCATAAATCTATCAGGTAGTTGTTAATATTGTACCCATTTTACAGATGACAAAACTGCCATAGATTATTTAAGAAAGTTGTCCTGGGTCACTTTGTTCTTAATCACTTTGCATACTACAATGACTCTATTAAAAAACTATATTTGTCTCATACAGATTAAAGATTTGGAAACTCAGGTCCAAATATTTTTTTCAATTGCTTTTCTATGAATTTTAGGCAAAACATTCAAATTTTGCATAACATTTCTGCAAAGCAAATGGTATTAAAAACAGTTTTTAATAAAATCATTAGAATAGAAGCAATAATGATTTACCATTTCCATCATATAACTGTATTCTTGCCAATTTTGAGTGAGAAAATGACTAACATTGATGGTAATATTTGATTTAATATTACAACTTAATAATTATATTACTTGATATTGTTAAATTACCCTTCTTTTAACAACAAATATAAATTCTGTTTTTTAATGTGTGTTTTCACGTAGGAGTGAAAGTGTGTGATTATTTTCTCTTCAAAGTATTCAATAAAAATCATATCTTCTAGTGTGGACTTAGTCTTTGTGGTAAAAGTGTGACAAATGCTTTCCTCCATTAATTTTAGAAATTTAAAATCTAGTAACAGAAAAGTCAACTAGGATGCAATCATTTTTATTGTTTTAAAGTGTTTAAAACATGTTTATGTTGGAAATCTACCAATGACTGTACTTGGAAGAACCTACCTTAAGGAAAAAAATGAGCAGTTGAAAGATTTGGAACTAGTATGTAGGTATCACCATGATTATTTATTTCTAAGTAAAAAGATAATTCATCTTTCAAATTTTAATATAATTTATAGCTCAAATCTTGATGACTACAATGAGCAACCTAATTAGCAATCTCAAATATTTTACAATATCATTAATAATGACATTTGTGTTAAATATTAATTTGGGTCCTTTAAGAAAAAAAATATAGATCCTTAATATGTTTAAATTGAATATTTATTATATCAGGAAATTTTATTCATAGTGCTCACACATATCAACTAACTATATTTTCATCACAATCACTCATTCACAAAAATGCACCTGTATTGTAAATACCAGGCTTGTAGAAAAACTTCTGTTTAATCTTGGGTGGTCTCTCGGCCCAGGTTTGATTAAATATGTCTTTTCACAACAGGTGACTTTTTAATTGTTTTCTTATGGCAACCCATTTATTCTTCAGGCTTTGTTTGGCTTGCATTAGTTTTCAGAGTTAATGACCATGTGTGAGAACATGCTGAGTACAGGTGGCCAATGGTTATGCTGAGAATGTGGGTGTTATAGCAAATGCAATGGGCAAGTGATTTAACTTTACCAATTAATAGAGTGGTGAATAGTTCCCTAACCCTCAAGGCCTTTCAAACAGAAAGCAAGCTCAGAATAAGCACTTGGTAAGGCAAGTATGAAATAAAGAATAAAGCACCTTGTTCTTTGTATTCTGGGGCTTGCTTTCTTTAGTGGGTTAAGTCTTTTCCCTTGCACAGCTTAAGGGCTCACATCAACTTTTTCAGAGTGACTTCTTTTTTGTGTGGTCAGTTCTATTGGTAAACTTGACTTTTTCCTCCCTCTGACTTTGGCTTCTCATTGTACTTCTGGAAGCCTGGCGGGCTGGCAATTTGAGTCCTGGGGCTGCTTGTTTATTTCCTCTTGGCCAACAGATGTGGGAATTACTAAAATGAGGACTGTTATACTCCCTAGCACCCAAAATAAATTCTAGTTATTAGATATCCTTAACATCAATTCAAGAATAGGAGTTGTACTAGGATTAAAATAATTATGCCTAGGCAGTCCTGACTGAGAAGAACCAAAAGAAAAAATGAGATCTTGGGACTACGTAGGCTGCCAGAAACCAGCACCAAACACAGAAGGAGCTTTTCCACTGGGCTTAATTTTTTTTCTTTCCTTTCTGACAAAAGGAACATTTGTTTGCAATTAGCTTAGGTAAAGGAAATAGCATCTGAAGTCTTGTTTTGCAATTGGAATGACCCCTATGACCTACTGTGAAGACACTTGGAATATTTGTTCAGTCTTGGTTAGCTATGCATGGGGGTGGGGCAGTTTTAACAAATGCAAATGCATCTGCCAAATAGTTGTAGTTTCAAAATTATACAAGTACTACCATATTATGAAAATATCAAATATTTAAAAGTGTTTTAAGTAAATTGTACTGAATTCAATTGCAGTACCCATCTTGGGATAGTAAAAACCCTTGATGTGTATTAAATGGATGAATACCAATGAACATAACAGATTTCTACAGTGTTAATATGATGACCTGCCAAAAAGTAAGGTGAGCCCAGACAGCATGGCTCAGTGGTTGAGCATCAGCCTATGATCCAGGAGATCATGGTTCAATTCCCAGTCAGGGCACATGCCTGGGTTGTGGGCTTGATCCCCAGTAGGGGGCGAGCAGGAGGCAGAGCAGGAGGCAGCCAATCAACGGCTCTCTCTCATCATTGA